TCAAATATTTTGACCGTTGGACCCTTAGTGCATCGGTGCACTAAGAGTGCATCGATGCATCAAGTGTATTCGATGATTTAAAATAGCCAGAGTGTATCGATGCATGGCTGGTGCATCGATGCATCAAATGCATTCGATGCTTTTAATAAAATTCTCAATGCATCGATGCATGGTATGTGCATCGATGCATGAAATGCATTCGATGTTCAATTTAATTCATGGTGCATCGATGCATGGATTGGTGCATCGGTGCATCACTCTGAAAAATTGATTTTAGGCTTGATTTTGGTTCAAAATACTTTGTGAAAATTGTTTCAAAAATATATTAAGTATAAAACACAATTTTACACATTTAGTAAGGTTTGAAATTGATCTTAAAAGACTTGGAGTAATAATTTGATATTCGAGTAATTAAATCGAATATACTTTTAAAAAATCATTTGTAAAATCTTAAAATTCATTTAACTTAATTTGTTATATCGAAACATCAAAATGTTTTTCAACAATCTCCCTCTTTTTGATATAACAAAACTCTTGAGTAATTTTAAGATTTTCTTTGAAAATAAGTTTTGAAATCAATTGAAAAATTACTCCAAATTACTCCCCCTTACTATAACACTTCTCCCCTTTAAAACTTTTAACACTTAACACTTCTCCCCCTTTTTGTTAAATCAAAAAGACTTAAAATCGATTTAAACAAGGTTTTGAAAAACATAGCCAATTGATTAAATATATATATATATATATATATATATATATATATATAGCTTAAGCTGCTAAGATCACAATCAAAAGAGAGATTAGCCATTAGTTTCATAATCAATATTCATAATAAAATGTGAAATGGTAAATTGGTCATATTTCAACTAAAAAATAAATGATGCATATATTGTAACAAACCAAAATATATATGAAATAAAATATCAAACAATCATCCAACAATCAAAGAAAGACAATCCAAAATGTTTTAACAATTCAAGTTCAACCCAAAAACAATCAAAGCAAGATAAGTCTATGCATCCATTGAAGGATCGAGAGGAGGAGGAGGGTAACGAGCTCTCATCTCAAGCGAGAGTGCATCCAAACGATCATTCATATCTTGTTGTCGAGCTCCCAAGGTAGAGAGTTGGAACTCAATGAATGTGAAGTGCGAATCCATGGACGCATACCGTAAATCAAATGTCTCCAAAAACGAACGAAAGTACGGAGGCATTTGTTCTTCTTGTGGAGCTGGTTCCGGTGCAGGCTCATCATCAGGTACATGATCATCGATATCTTGAATAAGATGTGGAAATTCAGGATCATCATCATCAGCCGGAGCCAGAGGAGGAGAAGCACGAGAGGAGCTAGGAGCAGCTCGTGAGGAACTAGCTCCCGGAGTTTGTTTTTCGGGTCTAAAAACCCATTGACCGGTTACCTCGTCTTGTTTCCAATCCGCTTTCTTCAAGGATGTGAGATTGATTTGATTTTCGAGTGGGATAGGATTGTCGAGAGAGACTTCTAGACCAAGTTTGATAAAGAGATTACTAAGAAGACATCCATAAATCAATGTTTCAACATGTTTTGAAGGAACAATGTTTACGATGTCCACTAGTTGACTGAAAATAATGTGGGGCAGATTTATTTTGATTTGATTTTTAATATAATACATCCACCATAAATCCCTAGCACGAAGTGTAGAGTACCTACCTCCGGATGGTCTAAACCACCAAGAGATCATCAAATGGAGAAAACGATCATGATGAGATCGTAGAGTACTAACACTGGAGTTTGGAACATAGGGATATTCCACATTTTTATTTTCATTAAATACACCACTATCATCTAACCCAAATTCGAAAGCTATAGTCTCGGGGTCAATATTAATATATTGGCCTAAAAGATAGGATCTAATGGCTATAGTTCCACATTGAGTTTCATTTTGAATACACACCGTATTGGAACAGAAAATACGGACCAATTGTTGATAGACGATAGGTTTAAGCTGAAATAATTTATCAAACTTCCAAGTTTTATGAGTCGGAAGGTATTCGAAGTCAATATCAACCATGGTTTGAAGCGAAGGAATACGCTCTTCGTGAATTCTATAAGTTTGGAAGGAATTTCTGTACCTACATTACAATTCGTCTCTACGACGCTCAGGCATGTTAAAACAAGATCCTAATAGAGATGAAGGTGAAGGAGGAACGAGATTAGGAGGTTGGTTTTAACGAGAATGACTTGACGAAGTCCTAGGGCGTTTGGGATTAGACATTGTTTAGGAATCGAAAAACGGAATATAACCTGCAAATTGAAACACATGTATGCACAATAATCATTCCCAAAACTCAATTGAGTCCTCAATAATTCAAGGTTCTCTAAAATCGAATCCTAATGGGAAAAGTTTTGAAAACTATAAAATAATATTTCTAAAATCATAATATGTATAGTTTTCATGAAAACAACATAATTAAAAAAATTAATTTCAGATTTTCGATTTTTTTTATTATTTCGAAAATTTACAAATTTATTTAAAATTTATGAGTTTTTAATGAAATTAGTTGTAAAAACCAGTTTGTAATCATCAAACTATCAATGCCCGATATAATGTTCATCCTAGAACTAATCAAAACTAGTCCTAAGATCAAAAATCAATAAAATAGGGTTTTTGAAATATTACCTTGAAAATTTCAGATTTGAGAGGAATTGATGTTGTTTTGCACGATTTGATGATAAATGCAGGATTGGGAGTTGAAAAACTCGAGGATTCCAACAATATTTTGTTGATTTTAAGCAAAAGGAGATTTTAGAGAGAGAGAGGCGAACGACGTGAGTATTTTAGAGTTAGGTTTTGAGAAGATGAAGAAAAATAGGGGTTTTAACTAAAAACCCGACGGATGCATCGATGCATAACCCCGTGCATTGATGCATATTCAAGGCGTGCATCGGTGCATCATCATGATGAATCGATGCACATTCAAAGGGATGCATCGATGCACTGTTAAGTGTATCGATGCATGAAGCACAAAAATGTCAAAAATCTGTTTTAAACACTTAAAATGCTAAATTATTTAGCTCTAGTGGTATTGGCAACTCATATATTGAAAATTAATCATGTTCAATTAATCTTTAAACAATATTTGAACATAAAATTAATTTTCACCAAATAACATAAACTCCCCCTAACTAATAGCAAAGAATGCAATCAAAAATTACCATTATAAGCATTTTTCATTTATTCTTAAAAGTGCTAAAATTATTTTAAATACTAAGTGAAGATAGGTAAGTTAAACCTAATTCTCTCCTGAGTGTCCAAAATCTTTCCTTGTCTAAAGGTTTTGTAAAGATATCCGCTAATTGATGCAAAGTATCAACAAATTCTAGAACTACATCTTCCTTAGTGACATGGTCTCTAATGAAGTGATGTCTTATTTCAATGTGCTTAGTTCTAGAGTGTTGGATGGGATTTTTAGTGAGACAAATAGCACTAGTATTGTCACACTTGATAGGAATGGTACCTACTTCAATTCCATAATCAAAAAGTTATAGTTTCATCCATAAAACTTGTGCACAACAACTACCGACTGAAATGTATTCGACTTCAGTGGTAGAGAATGCAACACAATTTTGCTTATTTGAAAACCAAGAAATCAACATATTTCCAAGGAATTGGCAAGTACCAGAGGTGCTTTTCCTATCTAATTTGCATCCTCCATAATCCGCATCAGAAATGGCATGCATGCTAAAGCTAGAGTCTATATGATACCAAAGTCCTAAGCTATGAGTATCCTTAAGGTATCTAAAGATTCTCTTAACAGCTAGTAAATGTGATTCCTTATGGCATAATTGAAATCTAGTACATAAGCAAACACTAAACATAATGTCTGGTCTACTTGCAGTTAGATAAAGCAAAGAACCAATCATTGACCTATATAATTTAACATCCACACATTTACCTCATTCATCCAAGTCAAGCTTTGTAGAAGAGCTCATTGGAGTGTCATGAAGCTTCCCATTTTCGAGTCCAAACTTCTTGAGCATATATTTGACGTACTTAGCTTGATTGATGAAGATGCCATCTTTTCTTTGCTTGATTTGGAGTCCCAAGAAAAATGAGAGTTCCCACATCATGCTCATTTCGAATTCGCTTTGCATTAGCTTAGAAAATTCTTGGCAAATAACATCATTAGTAGAACCAAATATTATATCATCAACATAAATTTGAACTACTAATAAATCTTTACCTTTATGCTTTAAAAACAATGTAGTGTCAACCTTCCCTTTTGAAAAACCTTTTTCAATTAAAAAAAGTTACAGTCTTTCATACCAAGCTCTAGGAGCTTGTTTTAAACCATAAAGTGCTTTTGTCAATTTAAGAACATGATCCAAAAATTTTGAATCTTCAAAACCTGGAGGTTGTTCCACATACACTTCTTCTTTTATAAAACCATTTAAAAATGCACTTTTAACATCCATTTGATATAGTTTAAATTCATGAAAACATGCAAATGCTAATAACATTCTAATTGCTTCCATCATAGCTACGGGAGCGTATGTTTCATCATAGTCTATGCCCTCTTCTTGAGTATACCCTTGAGCAACAAGTATAGCCTTGTTTCTCACTATATTATTCCTAAATACCCATCTAGTACCTACAATAGATTTACTAGGCCTTTCAACTAATGTCCATACTGTACTTTTCTCAAATTGATTTAATTCTTCTTGCATAACCATAATCCAATGTTCATCTTTTAATGTTTCTTTAATATTCTTAGGCTCTATGCATGAAATAAATGCAACATAATTACAAATATTTCTAAGAGAAGATTGAGTTGTTACCCCTATGGATGGATCACCTATAATCTCACCATCCTTGACATAGTTGTACTCTCTTGGATAAGATACTTCCCTTTCTTCAATGGTTGGATTCTCAAGAGGATCATGAGTTACCTCATCTTTTGTTTCTTCCTTTGATGATGGTTCTTCAACGTCATGTCTAACTTCATTTGTATTTATAATACCTACATCATCATTCACACAAGAATCCTTCCTCGGAAGGGGATTATCATCGAAAATAACATGTATAGACTCTTCTACAACTAAAGTTATTTTATTAAATACTCGATAAGCTTTAGAATTTAAGGAATAACCCAGAAAAATTCCTTCATCACTTTTAGCATCAAATTTGCCAAGGTTTTCTCTATCGTTGTTTAAAACAAAACATTTACATCCAAAAGGATGAAAATAGCTAATGTTAGGCTTTTTATTTTTGAAAATTTCATATGGAGTTTTCTTTAAAATTGGCCTAATCATTACTCGATTTACAACATAACAAGCGGTATTTGTGGCTTCGCTCAAAATATTTTGGCAAATTATTTTCACAAAGCATGGTTCTAGCCATTTCTTCTAAAGTTTGATTTTTCCTCTCAACAAATCCATTTTGTTGAGGGGTTCTAGGTGCTGAAAAATTATGGCTAATACCATTAGAATTACAAAACTCAATAAATCCAAGATTTTCAAATTCAGTGCCATGATCACTCCTAACACTAGTTATAGAGTACCCTTTTTCATTTTGGATTATTTTTGAAAATGTGATGAAATGTTCTAATGCTTCATCTTTAGTACTTAAAAATAGAACCCAAGTATATATAGAATAGTCATCTACCAAGACAAATGCATATTGTTTTCCACCCAAGCTAGTAGTCCTAGTTGGCTCAAAAAGATCTATATGGATCAATTGTAATACTCTACTAGTTGATACGTCATTAATGGATTTAAAATAAACTCGCTTTTGTTTTCCTTTAGCACAAGCATCAAAGATTTTATCATTATCAAATTTAGTTTAGGCAACCCTCGAACCAATTCTCCTTGAACTAACCGTTGTAAAACACTGATGCTAGCATGTCCTAGTCTCCTATGCCATAACCAACTATCATGCTCATCCTTAGCAACTAGGCACAAATTAGTCATTTCTATAGAGTCTAAATGCACCATGTATATGTTTCCTATTCTATGACCAACAAGCATAATCCTATTAGATGCAATGTCAATGACTTTACAACTATTAGTTTCAAATATGACATTGAATCCCTTATCACATAATTACTAATACTCAAGAGATTATGCTTTAATCCATTCACATATAACACATTTTTAATTTGTATGGAAGAGGTATTACCTATTGTACCTATACCTTCAATGTGACCTTTTGAATCATCACCAAAAGTCACTTCTCCTCCATTTTTGGCGTTAAGCTCTATGAACCGGTTTTTGTCCCCGGTCATGTGTCTCGAGCATCCATTATCAAGGTACCATGAATTTAGATTTGTTTCCCGTGCCTTGTAGCAATGCTCCTTTTCCTACAAACATAGATTAATTTTTTATTTTTGGTACCCAAATTCTTTTGGGTCCATATTCATTAGTTTCCAAAATCCTAGTCCCCTTAGGTATCCATTTGTATAGGATATCCTTATCTTTAGTAGTAATGAGCTCTTTAGGAACCCATATACTTCTAACGATTTTTCCATTAGAGGTTCTTTGGGGACCTCTATGATTGTAGTTTTTAAAACTTTTTCTAACAAAGTTGGATTTTGAATTTTCTCCATTTTCAAAACGTCTTGTTCCAACTTTATCAAAAGAAGCTTTAAGATCATTAATTTTCTTTTGATGATCATCATTGACCTTTGAAAGTAAATTTTGCAAATCCAAAATTTTCTTTTCAAACTCTTCTAGTTTGATTTGCAAATCTTTGATTTTACTTTCAAGATCATTGTTGGTTTTGGATATGAGTTTATTTTCATTTTTCAATTTTGAAATATCATTTTTTTTATTTTAAAAACAATTTCTCATAATCCGAAGTCAACCCATTATATTCCTCTAATAGCTCATCATAGGATATATCATCAAAATCAGATGAGTTAGAGGTTACCTTAGAATCTTCCCCGAATTCCATCAAGCACAAGTTTGCTACTTCTTGTTCCTCTTCATCGAAACCTTCTTCATCGCTCCATGTAGCCACATGAGCCTTGTGCTTATTCTTTGATTGACTCTTTCTCTTCAATTGTGGGCAATCATATTTGACATGCCCCGGCTTTTTGCATTCATAGCAAATGATCGGGTCATTCTCTTTTGGTTCATTTTTTAGGCCTTCATTTTATTTGAATTTTCTCCCTCGGTAAGGTCTCATCATTTTTCTGAACCGTTTGGCAAACAATGCCATTTTCTCATCATCGTCATCTTCATCCAAATCACTCTCATCTTTTGTGGATTTGAGAGCAACTCCAATGTTTTTCTTCTTCTTCTTCTCCTTTGGTGTCTCTTCAATCTTATCAAGGTCCACCTCATCTTCAAGCATCATTTCATGAGTGAGGAGTGAACTCATTAGCTCTTCAAGAGTTAAGGACGTTAGGTCCTTAGACTTGATGATTGTCGTCTTCTTTGATTGCCACGATTTTGGAAGGGAGTAGACTAACTTCCTCACAAGCTTTTCATTTGAAATGATCTCTCCATATGATTTGAGACCATTGACAATCATTGAAAATCTATCTGTCATAGCTTTGAAATCTTCATTTGGTTTCATCCTGAAATTTTCATAGCTATGCGTTAGAATACTAATTTTAGATTTCTTTACCTCATCGGTACCTTCACGAGTGACTTGAAGTTTGTCCCATATTTATTTGACGGTTGTACAAGATGAAACTCTTCCGTATTCATCTGGTCCAAGAGCACAAAATATGATATGGATGGCTTTGGAGTTGAGCTGGAACATTTTTGTCTCTCCTTCACTCCACAATCTTGGATGAGTGAGAGGCTTGATGTATCCTTCTTCTACGACATTCCATGTTCCCATTTCACTTGCTTGAATGAAGTACATCATCCTATTTTTCCAATAGGCATAGTTAGCCCCATTGAAGAAATGAGGCTTGTTGACGGGCATCGAATCGAGACCGGAGTTGAAGTTTGAAGTAGAAACTATTGATGACTTTGATTATCGATGTAACTTTTCTCGAATCGACTCAAGAGGCGATTAAACCTTCAAATGATTTAGGCTCTGATACTAATTGTTGAGTTAATCAATTGACGAATATGGCCAAGAGAGGGTGAATTGGCAATTAAAATTTTGGTGGAAGCTTTTGCAGAAAAGTGAAAGAAATTTGCACAGCAATTTAGAGTGGTTCGACTTTCTCAACCAAAGTCTACGTCCACTACCTTAGCTATCCACACTAAGGATTTTCCAAATATTCACTAATTTGTCTTTCTTTTGAGGACAAAGAGTAACCTTACAAACCCTCAAGAATTATACCTCAAATTCTTGAGAACACTCTCTCCCAAAGAGAACAATACAAATTTACAAACTTACAAGGAAATCCTCACAATGTAGATTGTTTGCACAATTCTAGAACAAAGAAAAGAACACTCAAGAATGAATACAATTGAGCATAATAAGTGTTCTTGAAAGCAAAATGAATATTGAATGAAAGATAGGCTTGAAATGCTCAAACTTTAGGTTTGATGCTTTCTCTTTGATTCTCTCTTGATTCTAGTTGGTTTATGTTTCTTGTTTTTGATCAATGGCTTCTAAGCTTGTTTAAATACACCTTGAATCACTTTTGAACGTTGGGATGATTAGTGGAGTCAATAGAGCCGTTTAAGTGTGAAAACAATTAATTAAAATAGTTGGGAGCGTCAGTGCATCGATGCATACCCATGGTGCATCAGTGTAAAATTCAAATATTTTGACCGTTGGACCCTTAGTGCATCGGTGCACTAAGAGTGCATCGATGCATCAAGTGCATTCGATGATTTAAAATAGCCAGAGTCCATCGATGCATGGCTTGTGCATCGATGCATCAAATGCATTCGATGTTTTCATAAAATTCTCAGTGCATCGATGCATGAAATGCATTCCATGTTCAATTTAATTCATGGTGCATCGATGCATGGATTGGTGCATCGGTGCATCACTCTGAAAAATTGATTTTAGGCTTGATTTTGGTTCAAAATACTTTGTGAAAAATGTTTCAAAAATATATTAAGTATAAAACACAATTTTACGCATTTAGTAAGGTTTGAAATTGATCTTAAAAGACTTGGAGTAATAATTTGATATTCGAGTAATTAAATTGAATATACTTTTAAAAAATCATTTGTAAAATCTTAAAATTCATTTAACTTAATTTGTTATATCGAAACATCAAAATGTTTTTTCAACAGAACTCAATTTTTCAGTAGAGTGAGAAGTAAAATTGACCTTTTAACTTTAAAGAATAATTTATATATTTGAATGTCTTAATCGAATATAATCTTAAAATTTGTAAAAACTATTTAACAATTTTTGGTATATCAAAATATCAAAGTGTTTTAAAAAATCTCCCTTTTTTTTATAACAAACATTTAAGAAATTTAAGATTCTCTTGAAAATACTCCCCCTTACTCTAACATTTCTCCCCCTTTTTGTTAAATCAAAAGATAAGTTTTAGAATAAACAACAGAAATAATAAAGCTTTTTCATCATTGCCTAGCTTTGTAGATGAGCTCATAGGAGTGGCTTGGGGTTTCAGATTTTCCAATCTAAACTTGTTGAGCATATCTTTGATGTGTTTTGATTGATTAATGAAGATGTCATCTTTTCTTTGCTTGATTTGGAGCCCCAAGAAAAAAGAAAGCTCCCTCATCACGCTCATCTCAAATTCAACTTACATTAGTTTAGCAAATTATTAACAAATAATGTCATTAGTATAACCAAAAATTATATCATCAACATAAATTTGAACTACTAATAAATCTTTACCTTTACATTTTATAAACAAGGTAGTGTCAACCTTCCCTTTTAAAAACCTTTTTAAATAAGAAAATTTGATAATCTTTCATACCAAACTCTGGAAGCTTGTTTTAAACCATATAAAGCTTTTGTCAATTTGAAAACATGATTTGGAAATTTTGAATCCTCAAAACCAGGAGCACATACACTTCTTCTTTTATAAACCTATTTAAAAAATGAACTTTTAACATCCATTTGAAATAAAGTAAATCCATGATAACATGTAAATG